CAGTAAGGGTGATAAAGCTTCCTTGGAAAAGCTCTCTAACGAGGGCTGAGGAAGAAATGCAAGCAGCAGGCTTCCTCGGTTAGGCAGCTCTGTGACACACTCACTCTCTCTCTCTCTCTCACACACACACACACACACCCAATATCCTGAGGTTTTACCACTGGCACTCTGAAAGTCTTTTTCATAAGCATCTACGAGGCAAGGCCTAGATGAGATCCATTTCTAGGTTAGAGCACTTGATAAATTTCAAATCAGATTTTGCTCTACCCTTCCACATTTCAAGTTGTCATCTCCCAACTTAATTTCTTTTGAAATAAAATTAGTACCATGCTCTGGTACCCTCCACTGGCCTGGAAAGGAGCCAGCCTCAGGGAAGGAGGCTGGTCCACTGTTTAGTCAAGAGTCAACCAACTCTGCCACTTCCCCCAAAATATAAGGACATTTCCAAGTGTTTCATTTCCTCCTCCTCCACTCTACAATGTCCTTGGGAAAATGTCCGGCAGGGAGTGGGGTGGGGTGGTAACTCATTTCCTTTCTACGATAAAGTCAGTTTTAAAATGTCCTAATTAATATACTTCAGGGAATGAGCCTTGCTTCTTTCACAGTTTTCTTCAATAAAGTATTTTTTAGTTAGGATCGCCAGGTTTAGCAAACAAGAATATAGGATGCCCAATTAAATGTGAATTTTAAATTAAAAAAAATTTTTTACGGTATGCCCTATGCAATATTTGGCACCCCTGTTTTTAATACCTTGTTAACTAAAAAGATGTGAGATCAAGTCTTTCTTAGCAGATTTTCCCCTAGTTTTTTGCTTTCTGTGGATTTGGGGGCGGTACGGGTGGATTAGGTGTAGAGCAAATATCTCTTTGTAGCTGGAATTTTGTTTCTTCCTTCCTCATTCCGCAGGGAAAGTCTCAGTGCCTCTGAAATCTCTCTCAGCCTCTGCTGTACATAGTGCTCTCCTCGCTTTTTCATATACAACGTTTTGTGTTGTGTTGAAACGTGGGTTTATCGTCTAGACTCCCCCAGGATGATGTGAGCTGCTCAGAGAGCGCGCGCTTCTCACCGGGCTTCCTCCCTTCCACTGGGTTCCCGGGCGTCCTGCAGCCTCTCCTTCCGGGCCGCCCCAGGTGGGCGAGGAGGCGCAGCGGGAATCCTTCAGTCCCACCTCTGACCCAGGTGCCAAGGGAAACTGAGACCCGGAAAGTGGGCCCTGGGGGCGTCGGGAAGGGAAGAGGGACCGTCAGGGGGCGTTTCGGTCCTTCCGGCCCCGCACAGGGAGGGGGAGGGCCTAGCAGGCCTTGCCCGAGGCCGGGCCTGGAGGCCTCCTCCGGCCGCCCGAGGCCTGCGGGTCC